GTGGGCAGATCACTTGGATCAGAAGCTAGCTTGGCCAACATAGTGAAACACCATCTTTACTACAAATACAAAAAAATTAGCCAGACATGGTGGCATGTGCCTGTAATCCCAGCTACTCTGGAGGCTGAGGCAGGAGGATCACTTGGACCCTGGTGGCAGAGGATGCAGTGAGCTGCAATCGTGACACTGCACTCCAGCCTGGGCAACAGAGAGTCCATCTCAAAAGAAAAAAAAAAAAAAAAAAAAGAACGATTCATATATGGCTAATGATTTGATACCAAATGAGTGCAAACAGGTGCTACACAGAACCTTGGCCTTGTTTTCACTGATTTGGAAATAACAACATTGGTTCTGCTCACTTTCTGCTCAGATGAATTTACAGAGAAAGTTAACACTGGCCATGGTCACTCAGAAGTTAGGGCTTTTCAGTTAGTCCCTGTGAGATCGTCAGGAAGGCTAGGGACTGTCTTGGTGGTGGCTCCTCTGACTCAAGTCACAATGTGTGTTCACACTCCTGGCAGGCTGTCCACACATCCTCTTAATCACTTCACAGTGAGGGCCCAGGGCAAGGCGATGACTCACCCCCACTGGCCCTCTGAAGGTCTCATCTCTGATGAGGTGGGTGACAGCAGGCACTTAGGAGCAGATTTCCTGAGAGCCAGGAGCACCTGCCGACTGGCCTAATCCAGCAGTAAAGTCTGCCTGCTCGGAACCAGCCTGACGCTTTTTTGCATTTTGTGCCTGGCATTACCTGTGACTACTACTTGAAACTGCCACTTAAATCCATTTTCCCGTTATAGGAAAGTTCTGATTTCATAGGAAGAAATGCTTTAAATTCAAGGCAGAGCAAAGTCTCTAGCCACCATCAGCACTGAATATAAAACTGTTGTGTGCTTCTGGCTGCGGAGGGCGGCTGCTGCTGTTCCATTTCTGGCACAAGTCTGGCTTTGTCATCGCCAAGGTCACTCCCTGGGCCTCCCTGGTCACGCACTGCCCCAGGCTGCAGGCACAGGGGCCTTTCGAGATGCTTTCATTTCTTTTCTTTTCGACTCCAAAGATCCAGGTTGCTGCTTGCTTTCCTCCTTTACCTTTCCTCCTCTGCAAGATTTTAAACTCCACCAAGGTATTGTTTTCTCACTGTCCCTTGCCTTCATTTGGTTCTTTTCTAGTGTTTATGGTGACCTTTTCCTTTCTCCATTATCACACAACTTTCTTCATCATCACCATTTATGGTATTTTTCCTTCACCATAAAAAAATACGCTGTAAGGTCCTACATATACTTGAAGCTCCTTCCAGAACTCCTGAGCCCACCACACCCCCATGCAATAGCTTAGCTGCCTGCCGGGCCTTCCTCCTTTCTGGCCCCATCCTGCCCATCTCTGGAGGTTGCTGTGTTGCCATGGCAACTAGCAACCTGCCAAGTCAGCAAGCTCAGGGTATGCTTGCCTGGCCTTGGGAGTTGGTCCAGCAGCCGACCTCCCTTAGCACTGCATGAAACGACCCCCTTAGATAGCGCCTTCATTGTCCTGGAAGGATCCTGCCAGCTCTCAGTTCTCACCCGTCCTGACTCAGTTACATGTGGGGACGAAGATCACCCCAGGTGAAGGGCAGCAGAAAGTTTTCTGTATTTTCTCCGCAGAGAAATCTGTCATCACTCTGTCCTCAGAGTAGGTTTATTGCAAAGTCAAGAATGAGATTGGGTGTGGTGGCTTATGCCTATAATGCCAGTAATTTGAGAGGCTGAGGTGGAAGGATCACTTGAACCCAGGAATTTGAAACCAGCCTGGGCAACATAGTGAGACCGCATCTCTAAAAAATAAAAATTTTTTTTTATTAGCCAGGCATGGAGATGCACACCTGTCATCCCAGCTACTTGGGAGGCTAAGGCAAGAGGGTCACTTGAGCCCAAAATGTTGAAGCTACAGTGAATCATGATTGTGTTGTTGCTCTCTGGCCTGGGTGACAGTGTGAGGCCCTCTCTTTAAAAAAAAAAAAAGAATGAATGTCTTTTGAGCTGAAATGATGGTCTCTGTGTCTTCATAAGGAATCTAGTTGGGGACAGGGAAGAGAACAGGACTCTAAGAAATTTGGGGCAGGGAGGAACCACACAGATTTTGTGACATTTGCAAGGGTAGTTTGTATTATGTTTCAACATCTTGCCGTTCTTAAACTATAGGAGTAGCTGGTTGTCCTAGGGAAGGGTTTCTATGGCGCCACTGTGGAATTTCTCTCTGGAAAGCTTCTGGGTAAAGTAGCTTGAACACATCATGCACAGGCTCAATCACGTATAAACCACTTTGTAACAAAGGCTCTGGGGCCGAGTGGCCAGGAGAGAAGCACCACAGAGAGGGGGCAGAGGGGATAGGAAGAGAGGCGCCGTCACAGCAGCCTAGATGACTCAGCCAGGGGCGGCCACCAGCCTGACCTCCCCAGAAACGCCCCCCACCCGACGAGACAGTTGTCTGGGCACCTGCAGATGATGAAGTTAAAAGGACTTACTCTTCCCTCATGTATCTTGGCGACTCCTGGTGCTGATATCCATGACCACGCTCAGATGGAAACTCGGCTTCCTCCCAGGCCGTCGGTGACAGAAGTGACCGCTGGAGATGGGCTGGCCTGAGACGCGGGCCTGAGACGCAGCCCCCCGGCGCAGAACGCCCGTGCCCAGAAGACGCCTGGACCCCAGCAGATTTCCATGTGCGTTGGAAGCCTGCCCTTCCTGTGAACTGGGAAAATGCGCTGGATTTTCTGAAGCCTCAGTCCCTCCGTCTGTAAGATGAGATTGTGGGGAGGAGAGCGCACCTGTGAGCGCCCCAGCCACGCGGGCTGAGAGGTTCCAACTCCCTCCTTTCCTGCCTCGAAGGGCCTGTTCCCCGGAGGCCAGGTGGGCTCCAAGGCAAGTTCGCAGGGGGGCCAGGTCTCCTCTGGCTGTGAGGGGGCCGCACGTCCCCCTCCCTGCACAGCCCCCACCCATGTCAGCACCCTCTCCACCCTCCTCAGATGACCAGAGAAATCCAGGCAGGCCCTTGGCTTTCAAGACTTTGCCTTAGCCATGGATAAGTCCTTCACTGAAGCGTCAGAGGAAGGACAAGCGGCTCTGTGGGATTGGGGCTGGAGCCCCGTGCCTGGCTGTGGGTGCTCCTGGGAGAGCCTCGCCTGGCCTTGCTTCCCAAGAGTTCGCCGGGAGCCCAAACCCTGAAAAGCCCACCGGTAGAGCTCACCAGGCCCACCTCACAGAGAGGGAAACTCCAAAGTGGCCGTGGACGTGCCCAGGGTCACCCAGCGACAGGCAGCTCAGACTCCTTTCCCAGCTCCAGCCAGCGAAGCTTGCAGGCGCGTCCCTCCCAGCTCAGATAAGCACCTGCGCCAGGCTTTCCCTCCCAGCTCAGATAAGCACCTGCGCCAGGCTTTCCTCGCACGTTCATCCAATCTGGTGTTTCCCATCCTGCACGCAGCAAGCACTTCTGTTAGCGTTAATCTGATTAACACTTCTGAAGCGTTAATCGTGTTCTAGTCTGACTAGCTCTTCCCTCTCTTCCAAAGATACCTCCTGACTTCTACCACCACACACCAGTTTTGCAGCTGTTGAGTATTAGACAAGTGGACTCGCAAGGTATCCCATTGTTGGGCTTTTACAAAACACTCACTGGCTGTGTTCCTACCAGCTCTGGTATGGGTGGCCTGTGAGCTGCTCACTCACAGAGCTTAACCTTCCTGCAGGTACCAGTCCGTACTCACTTCTGGAAAGAGAAGACTTAATTTAAAAACATAAAAAATAAATTAAAAAAAAAGCTTTCCTACCAAATTCCTGATGGGTAACTGTAGTAGCAAATTCAGGTGGGATTTCCTGACCTTGGCTTCTGACTGTCTGAGATTCGTCATAGCTTCCTGGATGAGTCTCTAGAATGTTTTAAAACATGTTTAATTTTGGTGGGTACACAGAGTCTCTAGGATATTATGAGACCTGTATATGAAAATTCCAAGCCTGGGCAAAATAGTGAGACCCTGTCTCTACAAAAAATAAAACAATTTAGTTAGGCTTGGTGACACAGGCCTATAGTTCCTGCTACTTGGGCGGCTGAGGCAGGAGGATGGCTTGAGCCCAGGAGTTCCAGGCTACAGTGAGCTGTGATCACACTATTGCACTCAGTCTGGGTGATACAGTAAGCCCCTGTCTCTAACAAAAAGAAAATGAAAAATCCATATGTGAAAATCCATGCCAAATAAAATTAATCATGATCATTACAAAATAAAGTAATTTCTGTGCTTTACAAAATGATTCACTATTAAGTTACTTTAGATAGTAAGCTCTCTTCCTGTGTTTTAAAATAGATGATCTAAATGAATCAAATCAATTTTCAGAAACACATTCATACGTATATCAAGGCATACCTGATTGGACCCTATATTTTTGTTCATTTATTTATTTGTCCCTCGATTTGTCCAGCCTGCCTTATTGATCAGCCACACCGGAGGGGAGGGAACTTGAGAGTGAGGTCCTGTGGGTGGAGGAGGGGACGAGAATGGAAACTGTGGGTTGTCAATGTTAATGTGATTTTCCTGACTCAGCGGGCTGGAAAAGGCTGCTTGACATTTGAGATATAACTACTTCTTGGTCTGTCTTCCAACTAGATTGTGAAGTGTTTAAGGACAGGGGATATTTCAGTCTAAATGTGTCTGTCAAGAAAAAGAGCAGGAGAGAGGAAGGAAGGAAGAGAAAAAGGGAAGGAGGGAGGGAAGAAGGGAGGGAAGGAAGGAAGAAAATTGAATACAGCCATGATGTGTCTGTGTAGGTACATAAATGGATACATAGATGCATTTAAACCACAACCTTACAGTTATTCAAGTATTGCTACTTCTTTATAATTCTGGGACAGAGAAAGAGCACTCACTACTCTCTCATACAAGCTTCTTTTTCATATTGTAACCTGAGAATTTAGCATTAATTGCTACAAAGGAAGCAAATAAAACTCACTTGTGAAAACACAAATTGCCCTGATGCCTTTTGCTTTTTTTGCCTATTGATACAAATTGAAAAATCCACCAGGAACAATCAAACTTGCAGTCGATGGCATTGACTGCAAGAAGGATTAGGAAGTGAGAGAACAGGTTAAAATGTACTCTGCAATTCTCAGCGATGGCTGGAGGTCAGCCTTCACCAGGGAGGAGGGTTAGCTTATAGCTCAGGCTCATTTAAATATTTTCCCCTTCCTCTCCTTCCTGTGAATTTAACCAGGAAAACAGCACAGCCTGTCACCTAGGTAACTGGCTCTCCCGCTGACTGGTGGAGATTGGAAACCGCACCCTTTCTCATTGCAAATTTGCATTCACAGCTGGGCTTCGGGTGACCTCGCAGGAGGACGGAAAGCTAATCCAAGCCTGCTGCGGCTCATTGAGGGTGCCCAGTCCTACCCGGTCCACCTGATACGCATCTGCCTCTGTGAGGAGCCTGTTTAAGGATCACGCGTGCCCATTGCTTTCCTTCAGAAGGAGGCTGGAAAGTGCTTTTGATTTGAAAATGATGAAAATGAAAATGCTCCTTGCATTGGCACTTTGTGCAAAACCCTGTGTTTCTAATTCGTACCATCGCTTCTCCCAACCATGTTCCCGAAGAGCCTGCAGGTTAGGCTGGCGATGAGGACAAAGACCTTGGGTGCTCAGTTTAGTTATGCTAATTAAAATAAAAAATTGAAGGGAGGAGGCGTGAGGAGAATGTGCCTAGACAATAGGAACCCCAGGCCACGGTCGCCAGCTCAGTCTTTATTCTCAGCCGCTCCTTTCTTTGCCCCATTGTACTGTCAGCTCGGTGACTTCTAAGGGGCTGGGCGCCAGCTGTATGCAAAGTGCAGAGGCCCTGGGGCGGATGCCTGGGGAGAGGGGCTGCCTGCGTCACTTCTATATTACTCGTTTTCTCCTTCTCTTCATGGAATAACGGCTAATTCACACCTTCATGTAATATCAGCGAACTCACACCTTCATGTGATAATGGCTAACTCACACCTTCATGTGATAATAACAGCAAACTCACCCCTTTAGTTGTTAGGTGTTATTCTCAGGGCTTCGTGTGTCACAGTGACTTCACCCTGACCATAACCGAGGAGATGGGCACTGTTCATGCTGATTGAGAAACAGGCAATCCCAGATGCAGACAGGGGAGATGATTTGTGCAGGCCTCATGGCCAGTGACTGACTCCTGACACCCTTGGCACCGGCCGCCCCCCAACTCACCCCTACATGCAGGTGGGTTCAACTCAGCAGGAGAGGTCGCTCAATGCCCTTGAGAGCAGGTGCGGGACCCAGGCTGCAACTGGCCATGCTAACTTGTCCCCGGTGTCCTTACTCGCTGTCCGGCCTGGCAAGCCGTGGTGAGCTCCCATCTGTCCCCTGTCATCTGCGGGCTGCGCTATGAAGCTGATCTGAAGGGTCATCCTCCTGCCCCTCCACCCATGCTCCCCAACCTTGACTGCTCCCTTAGTGGTCCCTGCAGGACAGGCGGAAGCCAAAGGAAAGGAAAAGAGAGGCTGCATGGGTACCTAGGGAAAAAAGCCTAGTTAATGATTGTTAAGAGGCATTATCTAAGCTCATTCCGAGTGCCAGTCCCAGCTTGGAATGGAGAGAGGCACTGCCAGTGAGGCAGGCTGGGTCCCAGTCCTCCAGGCTGAACTGCTGACCTGCAGGGGACACGGACAGGAGGTGCAAGGGAGCAGCAGGGCCTGAGGGGATGCACATGTGGCCACAGGAAGAAGTGAAGAAGCTGAGGTAAAGGCTGTGACTTCCCTAGGTGCTCAGAGAACGTCCCCGAGACAGAGGCCTGCCCGCCAAGACATTAGGGGAAGGGCAGCCTCAAGAAGACCAGGGGACAGGCCCCAGCAGGGCTCGGGAGCAGAAGCTAGCCAGATGCGCCCCGGCAAGCAGAGGACAGTGGCCAAGGTAGGTAAGTGGCTCACATGACTCGCAGGCCTTGGAGAGGGATCTGTGCTTCATTCTAACTGCAATTTTTCACCCAGGAGAAAGGAAGGTAGCCTCGGGTTGGGAGGGATCCATTGTGCAGTTTGTTGTAAGGTCAATACACACCTGAGGTGAGCAAAGACCCACTGTGAGTGATCGGAAGAGGGATCATATCCTTCCAATATCTGTGATCGATCCCATCCAACCCTCCCTTTTCTGCATGGGGCCTGATGTGGATACTACTTCGCCAGATCTACACATTCAGTACACGGCAGAGCCTAAACTGGAGGTCAGTCTGGTGGGGGTTCTGGTTTGCCCCAAAGAGATGTGGGGTGAATGAGAGAGTGATGGCATCAGGCTCATTTGCTGACCAGAACCCTGGGCTGACCTAGAGAATGGTAACGAAAGCACAGGATAGATGAAGAAGTCGGAGAAATGGGGCCATGCACGTGTGTGTGTGTGTGTGGGGGTGTGGGGTGTGTGTGTGGGTGTGTTCTAATATTGGAATGTGCTTGCGATATTACAGTATAATGACAAGTGAAAAAAAAGAAGAATAAAGAAAAGATGGAAAGTTCGGTATTTTGACAAAGAGAGAGAACTGAATACAGAAAAGAAGAAACTGTTCAACAATGAAGAGATCAGGGTTTTGTTTGTTTTTTACTGTGAAAAGG